ATGGTTTGTGCCACCAGAGTCCTGCAACCAGAAATCTGGACATGTCGCAAATGTTGAAGAACGCCAATTCGGGTTTCGATGTGGCTGGAAACCAGCAAGGAATCCGTCACTGTCTGCCAGGTGCGTGGCGTCAATTTCGAGGGCAGCAACTGCCAATCAAAGACCTACTCAACGAAGGTGCATCCAGTTAAACTGCATTCATCGCCTGCAATACGGTGGTTTGGACAGAAACAACGCGTTACCATGAGGCCACACTTCACACTGGAATTAAACTCTGAGCTGTCGTTTAAATAAACGCATGTCCCTGTGGAGGCCATTACTTCAATGCCTCCGAGGACAACCAACTCAGCGAACGGTTGGGATGCCCCACGTGAAGCTACAGAAAATGCAATCATCCCGCTGGTGGAGCTTGATCTTTACGAAACAACCAACCTACTAGTGGATCATTGGTCTTCACGCTCTGCCGTCGCCGGGCCATTTGCGAATTGAGTCTCATTCCAATGGCTGCTGATTGGTCCACCCATGGGACTCGTTGTGCTCGGGACACACTGCACCCCGCAAATTCACCTTCACATGCACACACACACACACACACACACACACGACACATCGACGCTTAGCGGACCAATCAACGGTTGTGTTGTCTCTTCACGACAATTTCCTCTGTTATCTGGTCCTACGAGTGCCGACAAAGAAGGAGGTCGCAAGGCCACCGACTTTCACAGACCCTGGAGAGTTCAACCACAACCAGCGTTTCATAGAACCTCGGCATTGCGTGAAGGATGACATCGACAATCAAAGCAAATAACCCACGATTTTGGGCCATTTAAACATGGAGCCTCATCACTTTGTCCGACTTTATATTCGCTTTTTAGATGCAGCTGATTCACCAAACTTTAACGCGTCTACCGGAGTCATTTATGAAGAAGTAATTTGCCTTCCTTGTCATATTACAACGTCAGAAGGCCCAGTTAGTCGCCCAGAAAAACGACTTATCTGACGACGTATTTGGGAGGTTTTAAAGTATCAATTCCCGTGACAATAAACTGTCAATGTTTGCACCGCCAAATCTTCTCGCATTACGGAAGCGAAGCGGATGGTTTGCATTCGATGAAGTGTCGAAATCGCGGTGGACTGACCCTGTACAGTCCAGAGCGCCTTGATGGAACAGTCGTGATTGTCGCGGCAGGACCCAGGTTCAAACCCCACCCAAGACCCGCCGAAACACCAACCCGCTTGTGAATGCGTTTTGAAAGCCAATTCATTCAATTTCACGCCTGCACAAGAACTTCTTGATTGTTTACTAAAATCCCCATAAGTACTATCTCCTTCAGCTAAATCAAGCCCAATCATTCAACGTACACCTGAACGAAAGTGGACATTCATTTAGCGCTCTCGTGCAAATCGCGATTTGTCCCATTCCACGTGTTGAAGATGGGGAGTTGGCACTTAGCACAATCCATAACGCGATTTTCGTTTGGAAGGGCGCAAGCTGCGCCACTTTCCACCTGGTGTGATCTTCATCAGCGTGTTACCTAGGAACGCTCAATTCAACGCCACCACGCTGCAGCCACCTAGTGAGGCCTTACCGACTGAAGTGTGGACTTGCGATTTCGCTGTGATGGCCGCGGTGTGGTAAGCGTTATATGAAGTTCACACACCCCATCGTTGGTGTCGGTCCATCCACTAATTAGTTACGATTCTTCTGCCTGCTTTCAAAAAACTTTTTCTGTTCTTCTCAAGGTCGGGTGCTAACAGATAATCCTGCGGTGCAATTGGTTGCCCAAACAGCACGAAGACTAAAGCAAATTCTCTGAGAAGAGGGTACAATTGGTAGTTGAAAGAAAAGGCATTTGACCGCAGCC